AAGTAGTTTTAGAGGAAAAAAGTTACTTTACATGCCTGTGTGGGGGGAGAAAGCAGCAGATTTGTTTGTATATCTGTTTTTAACTACTCCTTTACTTTACTTTGTATATATCAATTCTCAAGACATGAAAAAAAAAAATAAGTCCACAATGGAGTTACATGTAAGGACAAAACTAGACCATTTGTATCCCATCTAAACAGCCAGTTTGTTCTGCATTATGTAAATGTAAGAACTTATTCAGGGAAGAAACCCAAATGAGCCACTGTCTCATTTGCTACTGTTTCTAATTAATGAAATACCCAGAAACAATTCCTGCTTTTGTTGCACCAGAGTATTTTGATAACTAGGCTAATACACTCAATACTGTACTCAAAGCTGCACAATGGCTTAATTAGTCAGGAAAAGGAGTGGCTGATTCTCATTTCCAGAAGATCCTTAAGATTAAAAAAGGATACACAGCACCACACTTCAGTTTGTATCTCCAACTGCTTAGCTTTTCACGCCTGTTTCACAAAAGAGGAGAATTTTCTGTAATAAAGTTTTTCTGTCAATACCTAGTAGCTAAAAGAATAAAATATCGGCACCGATTTTAACTACCTCTCCCCCAGGACACATCTAAGTATGTGCCGACATTCTTTGGAGAAATTCTCTGCTTTAGCAGCCAGATTTAAAGTCCTGTCTCTTCTCCTAATGACTCAACGCAGTCTTTTCACAACCGCCATCTCAAGCAAGAAAAGAACGAGCTGAGCACACAAGGAATCGTAATTTGAAAAAGAAATAATCAGTACATATGTCATAATAAATAGCTACACGACATGCAATGGCCTAAGATTATCCAAAGTGTCTCAGATCAAAAAGCTGTAAAGCTGAATTATACAATCAGACCTCAGGCTCTTAAAACGAAAGTGCTTGTTTGATTATGACTGACAGGCTTACAATCAGGAGTTCACATCTCTTATAAAACAATTATTTGGCCACATGCAGTTCATATTATATTAAGCAGGGAAGGAAGTGAAGAGCTTTTAGGTTGGAAACCTAATTATTAATTTCTCGCTATTTTTAAGAATAACACAAGGTTCTAATTTCTGAGGAAGGAGGCCCTGACAAGGTAGCCTGCAGTCTGTGCCTTCAGTTATCCTAAAACCCCCTTTGGACATAGGGAATAATAGAAAGTGCTTTCTCTCCACATGCAGTTTTCAGGGATTGTTTCCTGCCATTAGTGTTCTTTAAGGAACCCTATTATTATCAAAAGCAAGATGTTTAAAAAGCACAAACAACGTATAAGTTCATGGCTCTGCACTGCTCGGTAGCACAGCAGTATGCCCAGGCCAAGTACCTGTCTCCCACTGGCATCTGCTGGGATTTGTTGTTTGACTCCCCTCTGCATTTTGAATCTCTCTCTCCCATCAAATTCCACCACAAGATTGCACTGGATTGTTTGCTTCAAGCACTGGCCCAGCATTTTACAGGCACATTTACTTCTCTTACAAAGAGAAGCAGGTAGGAAGAACATTTGCTCTTCAGACAATCCCATTTCCTCAAACAAGTGCCCTGAGCTCCAGTTATGAAGACATGAAGGTCTAACCCATAAATGGAAATGACTGCTGTCCTCAGGTGCTCTCTGGAATCTCTGTTTCCATCTAAATATAACCAGAATTCTGAGAGGAAAACCTTCAAACACAGTCCTTGACTACCAAAAGACACTGTCTCCTTACAGAGGAGCAAAAAAGTAAAGAGGAAACTCTCCAAATATCTTAGAGGATGCTAATCCAAATAGCAACAGTAATGGACACACTGGGAGATTTGACACTGCCCCATTCCAGCTGTGCTCAAAGCCAGCCTACAACAACATAAGTAGTTCTGGGTGTCACACAATTCCTGGAGCAGGCAAACGTGCAGAATTCATCCTCATTTGACACCAACACAGATCACAAGTAAACTAATCCCAAAATATTCCCTAACTGTTGTTAGTTACTAAGGATGCTGTGTGCACCTAAACAAGCCTTGGTGCTATACTGGGGACAGTGATGGACACATGTCACTCAGCAGCTTGAGAAAGAACAGGACCTTGATCCCACTTCCAGACCATCTGCCAGCCCACAGAACTGTGCCAGAGCAAGATTCCTCTTAACCTCTCTGAAAAATTAAGGCAGTGCATAAACTGGATGGTGGGTAATGCAATATCTCCCATGCTTACTGGGCTCCATAAAGAAATTTCAACTCTGATACCACCTGCAAGCTAGAAAATAGGTTTCCACTGTCCAAGTGGAGAAAAGTAATCTTTGCACAGTTAAAGTCCCTACAGAAAGTCTTCTGTAGGGAAACAGGCACAACAGTCTAACGGCTACAGGCAGCAGAGAATAGCAACCTGATCCTAGAGTTCAGAACCACCTTACCAGCCTCACTAAAGCTCCACTAACAAATACTGAGGTTATCAACCAGCAACATGTTTGTAGCAAGACCCTGCCCTCCACATGGGAATATCATGCCTTCCTCATACCAATTACAGCTATTCCTGAAGAGAGGAGCTCTTGAATCTCTCCCTGAAGGCTGAGTTCAAAATCTACCAACGGTAATGACTCACGTAGTAAAAAAACAAACCCACAACCACCAAGAAAACAAACCCCAAAAACCCCAAAACCCCCCATGAGAATTAATGCTCACACTTGAGAGCAATGCAAGGACTCTTATTTTGCCATCAGTTTCAAAGCTGTGTCATTGTTACTCGAAGTTCCCTGTGTGGGTAATCCCAGAGCACACAACATACCACCGACAAAGAGAAACAAGCACAGCATGTCTCTACAAGGAGACTTACTACCTCTATGAGACATATGTGGATTAAACAAACTTGTTTGCAGAAAGCAGCTGCATTATCCCATAAAAACAGATCCTAGGGCTTACTAAAAAGAGACACAGATCATTTGCCTGCTGATCTGACAAGCGAAATCCTCTTCCGATCTCATGGATATTTATTAATCTGGTTCTGAGGGTTCACAACCAAGTTCTCACAGCTTAGCAAGTGCACATCTGCTGACCACATGTACTCGCTCAATCTACAGGAAAGGCACGTGGAATAGGTTTGAAGCAATGCATTCTAATGTCATTTTTGCAATAGGCTCCAAGGTTGCAAGTAGGGATGTACTACATATCAGCTCATGCTGAATCTCTAAAAGTTACAACAACTTGGAACTCTGAAACCGAGTTGAAAGAATCCAAATTCCAGATCCCATGTGACATAGACACTCTAGTGCTTCTCAGTAGCCTGTAAGCTTTTCTCTGAAGAGACTCCCTTGCAGTGTCTGCGGGCTACACAGGGAATGGCTACGTGAGCAAAAAAGGCATTGCCTTTTGCTTTCCTTCATAGTTCTTCCCAGAAATGCCCACGCCTCACTTGTGCAGCTGGTTCCAACCTCTTGTCCAAACGGGCCAGATCAGCACAAACTGCTCACTTCCACCTTCTGCTCCAGCCAGGCGCACCCAGGCGGCTGGGCGGGGGTGCGCTGCACTCAAAGGAACAGCTCCACCTGCGGATCAGATGGAGCAGATCCCCCCGGCAGCGGAGCAATAACAAGCATCTGGGAGCAGTAAGATCAGCACAGCTGGATCCAAAGACCGACATCAGCGCACAGCCCATTACACAGCACAGCTCCTCTCCCAGATGCGTGCCACCCCAGACAAGGCTTTCCCACGGGGACCAGAATATCCTCACTGACAAGAAAGATGAAATCGCCTTTTCTCCTCAGCACACATACTTTGCACAGCTTCGTGGACACATAGATCAAAAAGTGAAAGGGTTACCAAATTACTTTTTAAGGACTTGTTTAAAGAAAACGGTCATAATTTGACGGCCAATTGTGCTTTCTGGGGCTCTCATTTATGCTTTCACTACTCGAGCGATTAGCAGTACTGTCAACGCCAGTAGCTAACTACAGTCTCCAAGAAGAACGAAGAGGAAGAACTGACATTTAACACAGTAAATTCTGAAGCAGAGCTGAAGAACAACCGCATAGAATTTTTATACTGTATATCAAGAGCTGCTGCAGCCTGACACATGGCCAGGTTGTGGAGCGACACAGAGTTTAATATTACCTTCAGTGAAGACCTCCACACATGAAAGTTCCTCAATCACCGACACACACCAGTATTTTGACCTTATAATCCAGGCTGAGCTCACAGCTCCGCTCCGGGAGCACCAATTCCCTCCCTCCCATCGGGAGCCCGCAGCTATTTGCGGCAAACGCAGCAGGAACTTTATCAGCACGTGAAGCCCGTGTTTACCTCGGGCCATCTCCAGAGGCACTGCCTGCCCGTCGAAAAGCAGCACCTGAACCGCCAGGCTCCCCTATTTTCATTGTTAGGAACGATGCTAATGTCGCACTTGGCGATCCCGAAGGTCTTTTCCAACCTTAATGCCCCTGTGATTCGAATACCCACGGGCGCGACACGACGGTGCGAATTGTAAAGCGATGGGACGGGCGGGATGAGCAGCCCAGCGCCATCACCCCACCGAAATTAGGGTTTGGGGCTTTAAACACCGTGTGCCCTTCGGACAGCGGTCAACACATACACACACACATACATACATACATACATACATGCACACATACATACACACACACACACACACCGGGCGCACGAACGCGCTCGCAGCGGAGCCGCGGCGCCTTCCCCGCAGCGCGCACATCGCATAGCGGGCACCGCCGGGCCAGGGCCCGCCTCGCCACCCCCGCGGCAACCCCGGGAGGGCACCGAGCACACCTGGGGAAGGGATGTCGGAGCCGCGGACGGGCCCCCGCGAAACCCCCCCAAACCAACCCGCCCGGGCCCTCCCCCGCCCGTGCCCGCCCCCCCCCAACCCCGTCGCTGGGGGGGGGGGGGGGGCGCGCGCCGCGACCGTTGGGAAGGGCGCGAGCCCCGGGGTCGGGGGCGCGCGCGTGTGCGCGTGTATGTGTGTACGGGAGCGCGGGGGAAGGGGGGGGTCCGCGCCCGCCGCCTCTCACCTGGAGACGCAGTTCTCCAGCACGGAGCTCTTGCCGGCGCTCTGCCCGCCCACCACCGCGATCTGTGGCAGGTCGAGCAGGCAGTTCTGGCCCAGCGCCGCGAAGGCGTCCTGCAGCCGGTTGACCAGCGGGATGAGCCCCTCCATCCCGCCGCCGCCTCCTCCACCCGCCGCCTCCTCCACCCGCCGCCGCTGACAGGTAACGGGCGGCGCACTGCGCATGCGCCCCTCCTCCGGGCTTGGGGGCGGGGCCTCCGTGGGGAGGGCACGCCCTCTCCCGGTGCGGGTCCCGCTGTTGTCCCAGAATTGGTGCTTTTTCCCGGTGTTTACGAGGCTGGTCCGCACACAGAGTCGAGGTGTGTGATTTATTTACAGTTCTGTGCAGAAAGGGGGGCTGGGTGGCAAGTCCTTTTGCCATTCACGACGACTACCAAAAGTTTTCACATTTTAGCAAACAACACGGCATTAGTGTTCATCGGCTACAAGTTGCCTGGTTGTCCTGTTAATTAGTACTCTATCTTCCATGGGTTAATGATGCTCTCGTTTCTCATGGTAATCAGTCCGCATGCTCCGTCTTTCTCTTTTTCTGAGCTGGTGGGATTCCTGGATTGGTGGTCTGTGAATCCGTGGCTGTGATCTGCCCCTGCCAGAATTGCCTGTTACCCAGTCAGAGATGATTTCAGCACAGTTGCTGAGTTGACTTTATTGGTTTCTTCCTTATCTTGGTGGTTCTGCCAAATGTCCTTGTAAACCATACATTCTGAATTCTTTGTGTCCACTATCAGCGGTACATCCTTCTTCCCGAGCTTCGGTAACCTCCCCCTAGGTCTGAGCTCATTGAAACAAATCAAGCCCTAAACCTTAACAAGGCAATTCTACTGACAAGTAATTTATCTTTCTAACATCAGGACATCACTTACAGCTTGCTATTTGTTTCACGGATTAAATCTCCTTTCTTGCTGATTAGGCTTGAAAGTATACAGAGATTAAACATCAAAGAATGTCTTTTCTTAAGAGAATTTTTACATATTCTACATTTTACAGCACCACCAAGAAGGGCTGAGCCACGGGAGCCCGAGGTGGTGGGGGGGTCCTTTCTGCTCTTTCTGTGGGGACACCAGCAGAGCCTCCTGCCAGTCACTGTCCCGGGGCAGCTGCTCACAGGGAGCATCCGTGGGGTCCTCCTGGCATTCTGGAGCCCCCACTGACAACTCAAGTGGCTGGGTGGGCTCATCCCAGCTTTAGATACCAGCACTTTAAGTACACCCAGCTTTAGATATTTATAAATATCTAAAAGGGGGATGCCAAGGAGATGGAGCCAGGCTCTTCTCTGTGGTGCCAACCACTAGGATGAGACACAATGGGCAGAAACTGATGCACAGGAAGTTCCACCTGAATACAAGGAAGAAATTTTTCACTGTGTGGTTGACCACACACTGGAACAGATGCCTAGAGGGCGTGGAGTCTCCCTCACTGGAGACATTCCAGAACCATCTGAACTCAATCCTGTGCCATGTGCTCTAGGATGACCCTTCTTATGCAAGGAGGTTGGACCAGATGACCCGCTGTGGTCCCTTCCAACCTGACCCATTCTGTGATTCTATCCCTGCCTGAGGAAAAGCCATCTGTGGTGCTGGGACCCTCAGGCACCAGGTGCACAGTTTGCCCAGGTCAGCACACTGACCATGAGGCCATCAGGCTTCCCCTTGATCCCAGCTGGCCACCCCCTCCTGCTGGTGGAAGGGGCCGCAGTGTCCCTTGAGAGCCCCTGAACACAGGACTGCGGCCCCCTCCGGCACCCAGGAGAGGTTTCCATGCCCTCTTCCTCAATGACTTCTGTCACTGGACTGGGAAGAGGGCCAAACTGGGAGCCCATGGAGGAGCCAGGTTCCGCTGGCCGGCATGGGACCTGGCAGACAGCTGGCTTCAGCACTTCCCAATCTGCAGAGCGGGGAATTTTGGAGCAGTCCCAGTGGCTGAATTCCTCCCAGCTCCTGCCTGCAATGGGAACAGGAGCAGCAGGAACCACGATCCATCCCTGTAGCACGTGAGTGTCCCTGGCAAACCTTACAGACACTCGGCCATGGGTGGAGTGCTGGCAGGTCAGTCACCTTCACCAGAGCCGTGGCAGGGCAGGCCCAAGGAGATGGGTCTGGCTGAGCTGGCAGCAGGTGGATGGCTCAGGAACAGGCTGGGAAGCAACAACAAGATCCAAGCCATGTTGCTGCAGTGGGTTCAATTTAAAAATGCACACTGAGGCTAAGAGCTCAGGCAAACAACAGAGATGAGGTTTATCTGTGATTACTGGCAGCAGTCACAACATGAAAATATCCAAAACACAGGCTTTGGAGTCCTGCAGCGATAAAAGTTATCCTCTGTATTAAACCAGACACCGGCCTCACTCAGCATGCAAAGCAAAACAAAAGGGAACTGTGAACATCCCGCAGGCTGACGGAGACTAATGATCTGGAGGATTATCAAAACTTCTTGGCCAGAACTCCCAATAAGTGTGAAAAATTACTCCCTACAACAGACTAACTTATAACTCTGGAAACAAATGAACAGTTTTTAATCGGCATAATGCAGGCTTTGCCGCTGCAGTTAGACCACAGCATCTGGGAAAAGCCTTGCCATCATTTCTATCTAGATGGGGCCTGGGAGTTATTGACATAATTATGCCAATTAGCAGCATGATTATTTCTTTCCCCACTCCTGAGAAAGCAGGCTATGCCAGGAGGCACTAGAGTAGCTGCCTGGCCTTCCTCCAGTTCACGGGTTTCTACGGAGGCTGGAAGCCGGGAAGAACAGGATCACATTCTGGCCAAATCAGCCTCGTCTGAGCATCAGAGCACTGTGTGCTGCCCCCATGAAATAATTAAGATCCGTAGAAGAGCAGCCTGGCAATAGAATTGCACCTCCACAGGAGACAAATGAAGATTGGAAAAGGCACGATGCCTGAGGAGTAACGCTATGCACACCTGATAACCTAAGGATAACCTGTCCTTTCCCTTCCAGTCTTTAGATTACATCTTTGTTTGCTTCCATGATTAAAATAACATAAATTAAGAAAACACCTTAGACTATGAAAAGTCTGAGTTATTCCCCCAAGTCTGGGAAGTTCATGAATCAAACTTTCTGTCTGGTGAAGCAGAGTTAAAGCTGCCAAGTCACCACACTCACCCCACGACTCCATCACTTACAAAAATCCACTCTCCCCTCAGAAAAAAAGCTACAAGCAGCCAAGGGTAGATTTCCCATCTTCTGGAAAAAGCACAAACATTTTCATTATACATGCCCCTATTATCGTGAGGGTGCTCGTTTTTCCAACAATTCCAAGAGAGCAGTGAAGGAGAGAGGAAGGGCACCCAAGTGTATCTTCAGGTCTCTGCTTTTCCTAAATGACTTCTCTGGATGGCTTGTTCCAAACCCCCGTGTGGAGCCCAGCCTGGCTTTTTGAATTTGCCAAGATTCATAGTGGCTAAATTAAAGGAAACAGGGGTACTGCTATCAGAGACCATTGCAAAGGTTCATGTAATGAATAACCATGAAATATAAGACCCAAAGCAGTGTCAGGGGGCCATGCAAGAAACTGTTTTCTGGGGAACAACTGAGTGTGATCCTCAGGAGCATAGAGCTGCTCACTGGTTAACCAGCTAAACACAATCTACTTTTACCCTCTGCTCAGTTGTGCCCCACAATATTTGTCATTTCATTTTGCCATGTGCCAGGCTCAGCAAGCAGAGAAAACCACCTCCCCTGGCACAGCAGGAAGGCTGCCCTGCTCCCCAGGGTGACGTGCCAACTCCATCAGCATGGTCTGATGTCAGATGTCACCAGCAGCCTGGCCAGGGCCTCCTAGCCCTGTTAAAGCCCCCAGCGCATTTCAGATCAAGCCTACAGACAGCAAGTTTGTCCTGCCATGACTTTCAGAAAAATATATGGCAAAAATAGCCTGGCTTCAGGGTGCAGCTGTAGCATTCAAGGCCACAAACTTACCCACAGACACTTCTCCCTAAGCAGGCAGCATGACGTTAAAGCTGAGGACATTTGGATCAGGTCCCCAGGCTGCTTTATAAACACACACCAGTGCAATTCCCTTCATGAAAAATGAGTTGTATATAAAATATCAGAGCAGACTTGCAGATGCCTGCAGTGAAGAGCCAGGCAGGATCCCCCAGCCGGCAGAGCAGGCAGGACCCTGTGGGGAGCAGAGCACAGAGGAGGCTGCATCCTCTCCCCAGGAAGAATTAAGAAGAGGCGGGTTCCTCCACACTTGCTCTTCTCCCCAGGGACTTTCCTCACCTCCTTCTTGCTTCAGATACAAACCCAGAGTCTTGCAGAGCTTTTCAGGCAGCTGATCAGCACAGAGCAGGGGGAGGTGTAGCCAAGGAGCCCGTGCAGGGGGAGTTCCCAGGTTCTCAGCAGCACCTGGCTCTGCAGTGGAGCTGCACGAAGGTGCCAGCCAGCACTGTGCCTGTGTACCTGCCAGGAGCAGAGCTCCAGAGCTCAGACCTTGAAGCTGCAAAAGACAGAATTCAAGCCAGTGAAAGAAAGTCAGAGCGGCCGCAGAGCTGTGATTAGAAGTAGTGGCTGCAGCATTTCTCCCTGTAAAAAGGATGTGCTTTCTGCCTTCCCCCCACAGCCTGGGGCACTGCTGACTCACTGATCGTGGGACAGTGACAACCCAGTCTCTGTCCCATCTCTCCTCTCTCCTGCCCTGTGACCTCCAGCTGCATTCTTTAGTCGGGTGCATCCAGTTCCAGGGTAGAAAAAGGGTACTGTGCTGCATTGCAGCCTGCAGAGACGTTTCCCAGCTGCCCTGAGCACCCCAGGAAAGAGCTGTACTCCCTCACTGCAGCCTGGCAGCACGCCTGCTTCCTTGGTCACAAAGCCAGGCAAGCCAAGTGCTTCCCCAAGGGAAGATTTCATGTCCAAAACACTCCCCATATGCTTCCACCCTCCGGGAAATGGCTGGTGCAGCCCTTGCTGTGATGTGACCCTGCCATGCCTGGACAGCAGCAGCATCACCAGGTAGCCAGGCTCTTCCCAGGTGAAGGGAATCAGCCTCAGCACTTAGTCCCTGCAGCTTTTATTACTGCAAAATCTCTCCCAGCTGCTTGATGTACTTTCAGCTGGTGACAGTATGTCCCCTGTCCACCTCCAATCTCTTCCCTAGAGCCCAGCCACTTCCAGTCCTTCTGCAGAGCAGGGACCTGTGTTGTGACACCTGAAGAGGTTTATACCATCTGGGGTGTCTGTGTGGCATCCCACCTCTGCCTGCCTCACAGTGTCACTGTCCTGCCAGCTGCCTGCCCACACGGTCACCCCGGGGCCAAAGAGCTTCCATGGCTGGGCATGGCCAGCTGCATCCCTCCACCTGAGATCAGGAATCCCAGGGCTGACCCATCAACTCCCTGTGTCTCATTCACTGGAGTGGCAGCAGGACGGGGATGTGATGCTTTGAGAAGGATTGGGACTGCACCAGACCAACATCCCCAGCTGGCTACAGCCTCACACCTGAGCCATGGGATGAGTTATGCACCGGTCTGTTTCTGTGCTGGGAAAACCAGAAAGGAAGAAGTCAACATCTTGGCGCCAGTGGAGGTTGCTAAGTGACAGCAGAGCTTGTTTCTATCCCGCCACTTACAGCGTGCCTACGCTGCAAAGGAAGTAAGTGAGGAGTAAGGGATGTAAACATGAGTATATTGCCAAAACACTCAACAGAACACACAGTTGCCAAACATATACATTAGCTGCACGTTTTGGCTGCCAGCAGAGAAATATTTACAACGTGTCAATTTTTCAGCCTTGGAGCATTTTACCTGCAGAGGAAGATTTTGTGTATTTGCAGCACTCATGAATTTGCCAGTTTTCCAGCTGAAATTTATTTCCAGACCAAACTTGTAGCCGCAAGGACAGCTGCAACGAACTGAGATTTCATCCTTACATTGTTTCTAATAGATGGCTTTTGTTTTTCCACCAGGATGTGGCGTTACGCAGCATTTGGGAAGCACAACAGAAAGGCAGGACTGGACAAGGGAGGGATGAAGGCAGCCTTTGTATGAGCTCCTGGGGAAGAAAGGAGATGGTTTTGGTGAAATAAAGGGCATACACACAAACCTATGTCGTTGGAATTATGTTGAGAATTGCATACTAAGTTAAAAATAGCCTAAATGCAGCACTGCTGATCCAGTTGAGAAATTTGCCATTGCTAAGCTGGGTGGATAATAGATATCTTTCAAAACAGTGCTCATCACAGAGAAGCTTTAGAAACTAACTGTGTGGGGGCAGGCAGACTTCCACCCAGCTCAAGCTCCAGCCTTGTCCCTCCCATTGCCCATGTGCTGCCTCAAACACGCTACAGGAGGAGGAAAACACACTACAGGAGTGACAGGGTGCCAAGCGACAGAGGGCACCTACCCACAGTGGTAGCCTTTATCTGAGGCAGGGAGCAGGCCAGCCCTGCTCTCCCGTGCCTGGGAACCATCAAAAGCACTTATTAAAAAAAGCATCTGCTCCCTCTGCATAGAAGCAGGCCAGCCCAGGAAGAAAGTAGGGCAGAGATTTGTCCCTCTAACTGAAGGGGAATAAAGCGGGTGGCATGAGAGAAGGGATCTGAAGAGTGGTTCCCGAAGTAGAACCTGCTGGAAAATTAAAATTAAAATACAGGCACAGAGGGGCCTGTCAGAGGGACATGCTCACTGTCAGCATGGTTGACATAGGGTCTCCTGGGCACTAACAGCCCCATCTCCTGCATCAGTGGAGTGGCCATGGTCCCCACTGGTTTAGGGTCCCCATCAGTATAGGGTCCTCACCGGGGTGGGAGCCCTTGGGATGTGCTTTCCATGGCCCCATGGAGCTGGTGAACTGCAAACTCTCAGGCTCGTGCACCCTCTCACTTTGCTTTCTAAGGGAAGGAGGATTTCCCAGATGGAGGAAAGCTGGATCCTTCTGTGGAGGAAGGAGAGGCTGATGAGGGGCATGACATCACCCCACATCCCTGTGGGACAGGGTGCATGGGCTGCAAAGCTGGGAGATGGCTCCAAGACACGGCTGCTATTGCCTCCATACTAAGGGCTAGGTGAGATCCCTCCCTGAGCCTACTTCTGATGTGTTGTTATCTCCCTGGGCTGTGGAAAGGTGCCTGTGGAGGGTTTGCTTTGGGAAGCAGCTGCTAGAAAGATGTCCTGGCTCAGGCTGCCAGCAGTAGAAGGGAGCATGGAGTGAGGGTACAGGATCAGTGGCAAAGCATCAGAGTGCCTGAGCAGGTTTTCAACTTGCTGTCTGCAAGCTGATCCATGGTACCATGTCTCAGACTCATTTTGGTACCAGCTGTTGCAGGGGAGAAAGACAAGCCCCCCAAAAATAGCTTCTGATGAATATATGAACACCAGCAGGTCTCCTGCTCTGTAACCAGCCAGGATACACCAGGTCAGGTCTTCAACTAAACTTCTCGGGGAGAGCCAAAGGAGGTGTCCAGGGTGGAACGGGGTGCTGTGGGAACACCCCAGTGGGTATTTTCCTGCTGCCTTTTCATCCTGCAGGAAGGCTGACCTGCACCAGCTGGGTGAGCAGTTTGGAGTGGCCAGGGGCCCAAGCCCAGGGCTGGGTCCCTGCTGGCCCAGGGGAGAGAAGGTTTTGGGTCTCAGGGTGTTACAGGTCTCAGTTCAGTGGTGATAGCTGGAGAGATGCAGAAGAGTGAAACACAGTGGGGTCCAGTTTGGAGGGCAAGTGGTGAGAGGGCAGCGGTGCTTAAGGGGCAGCTGCCTGTCCCCAGGACATGTCCTTGAGGTGCAGAGGTGACTGTACCTTTTCCAGGGTGTGGGTGCTTCAGAAATTAGCCCTAGCAAAGCACTGCAGGCCTCAGAGCAGCCCTGAGCACTTTATTCTCACAGCCCACCCACACATATCCACAACCAGGCTTGGGGCAGTGCTGGGGCTCTGCAGAGACACCAGGGACGCTGGAGAGGCAAAGGCAGCATCAGAGAGAAGGCACTGTGCTGGAGGGGAAAGAGGTGGTTGGAGGGATGTTTTTCCCACAGTGGGGAAACAACGGGGACAGACCCAAACCCACAGTCCTGCCAGTCCCACAGCACCTTCCTCCCCTCACCAGTTCAACACTGTCCCTTGGGCTGCACAGCCCTCCTCAGTCCCAGACCGCTTCCTAGGGAGTCACGCTGCAGGAAGCACCTTCCCATGCCAGTTCATCCCTCAGGCAGCCCCAGGCCAGCACATGTCCCCCAGGGGTGGCAGTCCCAGCCACGGGCACCCCTCTGCTGTGGGGCCAAGGCACCCACATGAGGAGCACTCTCTTGAGCAGCGTCTCAGCCCGTCCTGAGGAGCCCCTCTCAGAGGATCCTGACAGCCTGCAGCATGTCTGCCAGTACGTATGAGCTGTCCCAGGGGCGCCCCGGCTCCCGCAGGGCCCCCTCCAGTGCCCGGGCACGTGCCCCCAGCTCCGCAGGGTCCCGCCGGCCCTCGGGGCTGGGCTGGCAGAACAGGATCTCGTTGACCTCCCCTTCGATGTGACGCGTGTAGAGCAGCGGGAAGACATCCCTGAGGGTGGCCAGGACAGACTCCTTCAGCCGGGCATCACGGCACACCAGGTTGAGCACAAAGATTCCTGCAGCAGGAGGAGAGGGGTGGGAGTTCAGCCTGTGTACACCACCCTGCTCCCTGTGGGAATACAGCTGAATTGGTGCCACCACAGTGCAAATGTCTCCCCCACGGCAGCACGAGGAGTACCAGCATCCCCCTGGTACCCTTGGCCCAGCTCCATGTCCCTGCTGCCACATGGGTCGTGGGTGGCCACGATCTGTTCTCAGGTACCGCCTACACCCTCTGCTTCCAGCAACCCTTCCTGGCCCCCTGGGATGTCTCAGCCTGCCTGACCCAGCAGTGCTGCAGGTCACCTGCTCCACCCTGCTGGCACAACACCCAGCGAAACACTCGGATCCAGGACCCACCAGGAGAAGCAGATGCCACACAGCAATGCTGTCTGTGGCCACTATTCTCCAGGATGAGAAACGGTGGCACAGCCCCAGCTCCACACAGAGCCAGCCAGCCTGGCCACGGGGACACAGCCAGATCTCCCCTCTTACCTTCTGGCTTGAGGATGGTTTTAACTTTCTGCAGGAAGGGCTTTTCCACAAAGGCTGGGGGTGGGCAGCTCATCCCCACCGTGAGGTCTTTGCTGTCCACGTCGAACATGATGGCATCATACTGGGCTGGGGCTTCAGGAGGAAGCACAGAGAGTTGTTATCCCATGGGACAAGTGAACCACACACGATAGGGAGGCAACAAATGGGATGGTTCAGACATCCCCTCTGCCATGTTATGGGTCTCTTCTCTCTCCTGGGGTTTCTCTTTCCAAATGAAACCCACAGCAGCAGCCCTTGGTGCTGAGGAAGGCAACAAATCTAAGGTCCCCTGCACACTAGGCAAGGACAGGCTGTGAGCTGCAGAGACCTGGTGAGGCTGGAGACTGTGACAAAAAGCAGGAGATGGGCAGGGATGGGAAGCAGGGGGTGAAAACAGCCCAGGACCTCAGTCTTCAGCATGCCTCCCACCAGACTTGATGGGGTACCCAGAATGCTCCCCAAGAAGGTACCTTCAGCTGCCAGCTTGGCCACGTAGTCCAGGCCGTCGGAGACGTGCACTTGCATCCGGTCACCCTGGGAGAAGCCGAACCAGCGCGTCGCCACCTCCAGCATGGAGGGGTCAATCTCCACCACGGCCACATGGGCCTGTGAGAAGTAGTCATGGATGAAGAGGGGCAGGCTGCCACCACCAAGCCCCACCACCAGCACTGCCAGCGAGGCTCCTGCCAATGGAGAACACCCAGTGAGCCACCAGGATGCCCTGCCCCCACTGCTCATCCCACCCGCCGTCCACAAATCGCTTTGGGAAGGGTGCATGGGGCCAGAAAAGCCATTCCCCAAGGAGCTGGGGTGTGGGGACACAGGCGCACCTGCCCCCAGCACAGCCTCTCACTGCTGGTCTTGTCACCTGGGAGGGGGTCAGGGCCCCCCAGCAGGCAGAGCCCTGCGACCATGGCCTTGTGGTGCTCACAGCACAGGTAGCTCTTGTCGATGGCTGCAGGTGGCTCAGCAGGGCTGGGTTTCTTCTTGTCTTTCCTCCGTTTCTTCTGGCCTGAATGACAGGAGACACCAGCTGGTAAGGCGAGGTGGGAGACAGAGGTGCCTTCTGGGGACTAGCCACCCCCAGCCCTGCCCCACCCCCAGCGCAAAACAGCTCCCAGAGCTGCTCTGGGACAAGGCAGGTAGGTCCCAGAAGGACCTCCATCTCATCTCTGTCACCCCCAAAAAAAAATCAGCCTTGGCCCCTGCCCTTTCCTGGCTACCCCAGGTACCTGGGAGAGGTGTGGGAGCCAGGAGCCGGGCCTCTGACTGCACCACGTTCCTGTTGCGGAGGAAGATGAGGCGGCGGAAGTAGCAGGTGCCGTCTCCCTTCACGTCCTCCACCACGTACTCCCCGCTCAGGGGGCTGGTGTCCTGGTGCCGCACCGCCCGCACCCCAATGTCCCCTCCCACGGACAGGAAGGGCACCTGCAGGAAGGACAGTGACTGGTGTGAGGAAGCAAAGACTACAAAAACAGAGCCTGGCGTTCCCGCTGTCCTGACAATGGCTACGGAGCCATTGGACGAAGTGGACACAAGGCGGGAGCAGTGGGATGCCACAGGAGAGCTGAGGACCTGCGCTGGCTTCACTCCCATCCGTGTGTTGGGGGTACAGGGAGCAAACACCTCATGACTTCTTGCAAGAGCTCAGGTTTGGGGAGTTGGGGAAGGAAGGAGACAGGATGAGCAGAAGTTAAAGCCATGATTAAGAAGAGGCTGCTCTCAGGGTTTTGGGATGCCCGATTTTCTTGGGATGCTGGGTTTGTGAGGGGAAGGATTTCACACTGAATCTGCCTCCAAGCAAAGGTAGACAGCTGGAAGGAAAACCAGGAAGAGCTACACCTGAAGCCAGTCTCCTGCCCACCAAGGCAGCCAGCTCACACCTTGCAGCTTGGTCTCCCTTGGAGAAGAGGGATTCACTGCTGGAAAATAACCAGCTTGTTCTCGGTTTTGGGGAAGCCAATCCAGGGGTTTGGGCAGTGG